CGTGATTTGGCTAGAAAGATAAATTTACACTGCAGGGGTCTGTGAAAGCTCTAGGCAGAGACTCTTCCTGGAAGAGAGCAAATTGGGGTCCTGGCACTGCCCTTAGCGTAAGTAAGGCCTCCTATACCTGATGCTTCTTCCCGGCGGCAGGACAATCCATGGCCTGATCTACAATGCCCTGAAACTCTTTATGGAGATGAATCAGAAGCTGTTTGATGACTGCACACAACAGTACAAGGCAGAGAAACAGAAGTGAGTATCTTTCTACCTGGAGGCTTCCATCTTCACCCCAGGTTCCCTTTGCTTCTCTCTCAAGCCCACCCCCCCATCCTGCCTTTGCTCCCTCAGGGGTCGGTTCCGAATGAAGGAAAGAGAAGAGATGTGGCAAAAGATCGAGGAACTGGCCCGACTTAATCCCCAGGTGAGCTTTTCCTGCCGCTGCCCTGAACCTAGGGGCCTGATTTGGCCTGGGGGAGGGTTTGAGGAGGAACATGAAGCAGACAAGTCCACAGACTTCTGAAGCGGCTCTCACCGCCGACCTGTGCTTCCTCTCCTTCCCAGTATCCCATGTTCCGAGCTCCTCCACCACTGCCTCCTGTGTACTCGATGGAGACAGAGACCCCCACGGCAGAGGACATCCAGCTTCTGAAGAGGACAGTGGAGACAGAGGCTGTGCAGGTGGGAAGGCACAGAGGGAGTGGGGAGCAGAAATCAAAGCTCTGGAAGGGAAAGGAGCAGCGGAGCTATTGAATAAGGGGAGGAAGCCATAGAATTTATTGGGAATTGGTTACCATTCCTTGCCTTCTCCGTACCCACACGTAGATGCTAAAGGACATCAAGAAGGAGAAGGTACTGCTTCGGCGGAAGTCAGAGCTGCCCCAGGATGTGTATACCATCAAGGCGCTGGAGGCACACAAGCGGGCGGAAGAATTCCTAACTGCCAGTCAGGAGGCTCTCTGACCCCCTCACCGTCTTACCACAGGGCCATAGCCCACTCAGCCCTGGGACGCTGCCCTAGCCCTCCACCCTCTGCTCCCCACTGGCTGACTCGGGGCAAGGCAGTGCCTCTAGCTACTCTAGGGAAGGGATGCGGCACTTGAAGCAGGGACCCCCCCCTCCCCAGAGTGGTCCCTCTTCTCCCCAAAATGTGTTCATGCCTCCCTGTGGCTAGTACAGACAGAGCGCTGAGATCCTCAGTGCCCAGACAACTTGGGGATGCCTGTCCCCCTCCTGCTCCTAACCCCACAGCTACCTGAGGCTGCTCTGAGAAATACACACAGGAATACATATGCTCCTCTTCCCTTCCCTTAATCCTCATTTGAACTCCAGGTGTTTTTCCTTCTCTCCCTCCCCCTGCAGAAGCATATAGGGAGCAGCAGGAGATTATTCTCACCAAAGTTCTGTCAAGCCCCGTTGGCCCCTGGAGTGAGTAGCTGGAGGGGAGCCAACCCCCAACAGGCACAACTAAGCCCCCAGCCCCAGCAGTGTGCAGGCTGATGGGGTTGAAGTATTTTCTCTTACCCCTGCCTGACCAAGACAACACGGGAGGTCAAAAGGAGAAAAGCATAAGCTATGGACCTTAGGCGATGGAATATAGGGCCCAGATGCACCAAGAGAAGGGGGTGAACACCCTACCCTGTGCCCCCTCTCTGGTGAGCAGCAGCCCTGGGATCACAGACATGGAAGGGACCACCCTGGGGCTGACTGCTTTCCCATGCTGTTGGTTCCCAAAGCTAGGAGGAAGCAGGGAGCAGTGCCCTAAGCGTTGCTCCTCCGACACCTATTTATTTCCTTTGTGCTGATGCTGGGTAGGCCCCCACTTGTCCCTTTCAGACACCTTGGAGGGGCAAGGGGCTGAAGAGGGCCAGACCCAGGTTCCAGGGGCACAGGCAGTGCAGCTTTTGGCTGTGTACATAGGGTGCTTTATTCTCCACAGAGTGATACATGCTAAGATGGGTTGGGCTTGGGCCAATGTCCCCATATGTACAGAACTGAATAAAGTGGGTCTCTGAGAAGAAGTCTGATTTGCCGTGATGTGGAAAGGGAGATGGGAAGGTGGAGATGGACATTACAACCAGGGATGTGTTCAGTCTTATGCTGGTTCTGGCCCGGAACGCAGGGAGATAAGGCAGCTCTCGGGGCAGTCACTTCCAGGCTGGGGACCCCTGCCGGGCTTGGAGGGCCTTCTGCACCACATCTTCCCACTGGGCATCTGATATCTCCCGAGCCCAGGCAGGAACCCCTGGCGCAGGCAGGCTTACTCCAGCCATCGTCCTTTTCACCAGCTCCACATGTTCTGAAATCACAGAGAGCCGTTAGGGGATGGAAACGATGGGACCCACTCCACTCCCCATTCTTGGAATTAACCCATAACCCCTGGGTTAGCAGGGCTGCCAAATCCATCCTGTTACTTCCAGGCATGCCCACCTAGCACCCAAGCCTAGCATAATCAGCCTTTCACCTGGATCCTGAAGCCTGTAAAATCTTAGATCACAAACTGTGGTTTTAGGAACAGGGTGTCCCTCTAGGACTTGCCTTAACTGGCTCTGACCAGTCCCTTTCTTCCAACATTATTTCAAATGAAAGCATGCTCCCTTTACCCGGGTCCATGGGAATAGAGCTGTGGTTGCTCAATCCCGTAGCTCCCTCCTCTTCATCCTCGCTCTCTAATGGCGGGTCTGGCAAATGAAGCCCCAGGGCCTAAAATGTCAGAGAGAAGACAGTTCAGGTCCAGCACTTCAGGGACCCCCGCTTCACCTGCCAGAACAGTGCCTCCTCCACCATACCTGGATCCGATCCTGAATATCAGCAACTACATCTTCTCCATCCCCCACCGGTGCCAGCTCCACCTCCTCTTGCTCGGGATCTTGGTTCAGGGGTTGGTAGGAGTAGCCCGCTGGGCCTGCCCCCGTTTCCTCCTGCTCTTCCTCAGGCTCCTCGCTGCTCCAATCCCCAGTGCCTTCCGTAGGGCCCTGGTGCGGCCCGAGTTCCTCAGTCTGATTGGGGAAGATACGCTCTGGGCCCATGGTGTCTCCCCCTAGAACTACTGCTGCCATCCGGGCAGGGGCTGCAAGAACAGGGAGGGCAGGAGGATAGGGATCGGGTGAAATTAGGTCCACCTATAGCCGCTCACCCAGTTTCTTGTGATCTGCGTCCGCAAATCATTTAACCGCTCCCAAGCTTCCTGCAGCCCACCCTCTCCTGGGCACTCCACCATTTAAACCAAGTTGTATTTTGAAACGAGGCCCACCCGACTTGCTCTGCCAATTCTTAACAGCCCAACCCGAGACCATGCCACCTCCCAAAAGACACTCGGCCCAGACCCCGCCCTCCCCTGCTCTCCGACTTGGGAACACCGGGTCGCCAGACGAGTTCCCCTAGACAGGGCGTACCCGCCCCCTTCTCCCCTCTCCAAAGGGTTCCCCTCTGTACCGCCTGACAAATGCCCTTCAGGCCCCAGGGGGCTCCCCTCAAATGGCCCCAGCAGCGGCGTCCGCCACCTGCCCCCACCGATTCTCGGGGCCGGCGGTTCCGCGAGCCTCACCCGCTCAGAGCCCGCGGTTGAACCCGCACATTCACTTCCGGCGGGGCAGGACGTACTGGGATGCCTGGTCCTCCAGCCCCTCCCCGTGCTCATGATTGACGCGAACGACAGACGAGCAATACGCCCCGTGCCCCGCCTCCGCCATCTCCTGCCCGGACAACAAAGGACTACATTACCCAGTGACCCCCACGGGTTTTGACACATACTTGCACATGCGCACAATCTCCCTCGGCCCCTGCCACTCCTGAGCGCCTCACTTCCCTCCGGAAACCCGCGGACTACAAGTCCCGGGAGGCTTCGGGCACTTTGCTCTCGCTGCACGTGCGCACACGGCTGCCCTCCGGAAGGACCCAGCCTGGTTGTGTTTATCTCGTTGGGGAGCGAGCCGTCGGTTGGCGCGCAACGGGTTCTAGACTGCAGGCAGCGCGAGGATCCGCGGCCCCGCCCCGGCCCGGCCTGGCAGGTAGCCCGGGATGGGTTGAAGGACAAGGAAAATTGGAGGGGCTGGGGTCGCCCATACCTGGAGCTGGCGTCGTGGGGGAGGGGCCTGAGACTGATGAGGTGGGGGTGGGGAGGGAACTAGGGGAATGATGGGAAACAAGAGTGTTAATGGGGAAAGGACTGGGGGAGGATGGTGAGGAAATGAGTGGGGGGTACCTGGTGGCTGGCGGAGGCACTGGAGGGAACTGGAAGGAAGACTGGGCTATGAGGAGAACGAGAAAGCTGAGGATAATGGAAAAAAAGGGGGGGGAGGGCCTGGTATTGTGGGGGAGGAGAGTGTTGGGATGACTGGAAGAAGACAGGGATAGCGTCATATACAGGGAGGAATATCCCTGGCCGAAAGGGGTCAGTGAGTATTCGCCTTTCTTCCCTTAGTGGAAGAGGGAAAATGGAGGGCTGTCGGGGTGGAGCTTGGTGCGGTGGGAGAAGGAACAAGGAGAAAACTGCAGAGCTCACGGATCAAGAAGGGCCGGAAATGGGGAGTGGACATTGCAAGAGACCCGGGTGGGCGTGGGGGGGCGGTAGGTACATGAAGGGTATGCAGGAAGCTTGAGAATGCAGCGATGATGAAGGATCCAGGAGACCCAGAGATTAGTGGGGCTCCTGAGACAGTAAGGGGCTTGTCTCCAGGAGTTGGAGCTGGCCTTGTGAGGCAGCTAAGATTCTGTCCACCTTTGGATGGAATCGCTTCGCTTTTCCCCTGTGAATTTTTCACCTTGACATAGCTGGAGGGGGGGAGAAGTTATGAGGGAAGACAAAAGACTCACATTCTTAAACTCTTCAACCTCCTATCTGTCCCCACAAGCCCAGATCCAAGATCTTTTGGATTGAGCACAGGAGTAATGACGTGAGAGTGATTTCCTGCTGGGGCTATTTCAGGTTTGGCAGGCTGGCTATTTAAAGCATGGGATGGGGGGTTGAGGGAGGTTGAAGGGGGAGGGGGGCTGGCAAGCCAGCTCAAAACCGTGTCTCTTTCCTTTGAGGGGCCTCCCTTACTTGCTTTCTCTATGCCTGAGGTTCTGCCAGCTCCTCCCTTTGCTGGGGCTTCTTGAGCAGGGAGCAGATGATCCACTCAAACCCAGCAGGTGCCTGCCAACGAAGGCAGTACCCGTTGGGGGAACATTTGCCTGACAGTCTTCAAATGTACCCATTACCACTAGGTTGGCAGGTTATGCCTGAGTCTGTTTCTTGTCCTGCCCAAGGGGAGGGCTTTTTTTTTTTATCCCCTCTTCCTCTCTTTTCTAACGCATGCCCCTACCCCATTCCCCTTTCAGGGATCTAAGTGGGAGAAGAGCTGCTAAAACAGCTCCTTCTTTATTATAACAGTGGGGTTGGAGAAGCAGCAGGAGGGGAAAACCCCTCCTCTCAGTCCCCACCCCCACAGTGCCCAGCAGACACATACCTTTCTGGCTTAAGTTCCTAGTCTTGGCAGTATACCAGGCACAGCTGTTAAAGGAACTCCTCGTGCCTGTGAGGGGCCCTGGATGACCCTGATGACAATAGCATAGCTTGAGAAGAGCTCCCTGTGAGGGGCTGAGCATCTCTGGAGGTCCCTGTCCTGGGTCAGTCCTGCCCTGTCCACCCTGCCCTGGATAGGGGCACTGTTTTCGCTCCAAAAGCCTAAAAGATCTTCTCCTTTGAAGCACCTATGCCAGCTTTCAATGGACCGATTGGGGCTGGCTGCGCTATTAATAGCCCTGAGTATTTTGAGATCCCTTTCCCCAACTTAAAGAGCACAGAGATTCTTAGAGAGGTGGCAGTAAGCGGAGCAGAGCCAGAGAGATGAGAGAATGCCCTGCCCTAGGAAGGGCGGGCGGTGCTTGGAGCTTGTGCCAGGCCAGCGACACGGCGGAGCCTCCATGAGTAAGGAATGACCATGCTGAACCCTTGATCAGCAATTCTGAGCTGTCAATCAGGTCAGAGCGGCCCCGCCCTTCGCTGTGGGAGAACACTGGACCAGGGCTAGCTCCCCTGGGGCAGGCCCAGCCACCTGAGCTTCAGAAGGCTGGTGTGGGAGGGCCACCAGGGTGACACAGAGGCAAGGGCTTGTCCTGGGCAGAATCCTGGTGAGCCAGATAAACTCCTTACCTGAGGAGCCCGTGGCCCTAACTTGTGTGCAGGTAGCAGAGGCAGCAGGCCGTGCCGGGGGGGCATGTTGCTGTAACCAGTGACCCAGGGGATGTTACGGTGGACAGTGCACCTGGAGGGCGGGCCCCGCAGGGTGAACCATGCAGCCGTGGCTGTTGGGCACCGGGTATACTCCTTCGGGGGTTACTGCTCTGGTGAAGACTATGAAACGCTGCGGCAGATTGATGTGCACATTTTCAATGCAGGTAAGCTAATGCTGGGACCATCCCTGGGTACCCATGTCAGGGAGGGGAACGGGCAGCTGAATGAGGTTTGGTGGTAGTCCCTATGGCCAGGGGGGAGGGGGGAATGAACGGCTGGTTGGGGAAAAGGTGAACAGCCCGGAGGGAGGTTTCCAGGGCTGAGTGGAACTGTGCCCACAGTGTCCTTGCGTTGGACAAAGCTGCCCCCGGTGAGGCCTGCCGTCCGTGGGCAGGCTCCTGTGGTGCCCTACATGCGGTATGGACACTCAACCGTCCTCATCGATGACACGGTCTTCCTTTGGGGCGGGCGGAATGACACCGAAGGAGCCTGCAATGTGCTTTATGCCTTTGACGTCAGTGAGTATGGGTCTTGGCGAGGCCGTGTTCTGCCAAATGATGCCTCCAGGAAATGGGCTGGGAAAGGTGTGGGCTGAGGCGGTGGAATAGGGCATTCCAGAGTCTAGGAGGGAGCGGTGTCAGAGGTTGCTCACTGACCTATCCTCTCCTGTCTTTCAGATACTCACAAATGGTCCACACCCCGAGTGTCAGGAACAGTTCCTGGGGCCCGAGATGGACATTCAGCTTGTGTCCTGGGCAAGACCATGTACATTTTCGGGGGCTACGAGCAGCTGGTATGTCTGGGAGCAAATTAGAGGTTTGAGAATGGGTGAGAATAAGAGGAAGGGGAATTGAGGATTGGTGGAATGGGAGGCTTTGGCTTGTTTGCAGGTTTTGAGGGGAGAGGCCGAGAGTCAGAGGGTGAGCACAGATCCCCTCTTTTATTCCTTTCTTCACTTCCTTTTTCTTCCCACGCAGGCAGATTGCTTTTCCAATGACATCCACAAGCTGGATACCAGTACCATGATGTGGACCCTTATCTGTACAAAGGTCTGCCTTTTCTTCTTCCATCCAGATCCCTTACTTCCAATTGAGGAAATCATAGGAAGCTGAGTGAGAGCAGATCCCCTCGTAGCCTGCACGCTGACTCCCACCCTTTTATTTCTCTGCTCCCGCCCAGGGCAACCCTGCACGCTGGAGGGACTTTCACTCAGCTACAATGCTGGGCAGTCACATGTATGTCTTTGGGGGCCGTGCCGACCGCTTTGGGCCATTCCATTCCAACAATGAGATTTACTGCAACCGCATCCGTGTCTTTGACACCAGGACTGAGGCCTGGCTGGACTGCCCACAAACTCCAGTGCTGCCCGAGGGCCGCCGGAGCCACTCAGCCTGTGAGTGTCTGGTGGTCCCTGTGGGGGTCCCCTTTCCTGCCCGTGGTCCTGTCACACTCTTCATGTTTCTCTCTCCTTCCAGTTGGCTACAACGGGGAGCTGTATATCTTTGGTGGCTATAATGCGAGGCTGAACCGGCACTTCCATGACCTCTGGAAGTTTAACCCTGGTACAGAGCACTGCCCTTAAGGGGAAAACAGGAGCAACTGATGGGGGAGGGAAAAAAAATCCTAAGTAGGTGAGGGTGGGCATGGGGGTGGAGAGGATATTTGGATTGGGCAGGTGTTAAACTTCCACATAAACTTCTCTTCAGTGTCCTTTACCTGGAAAAAGATTGAACCGAAGGGGAAGGGGCCATGTCCCCGCCGGCGCCAGTGCTGCTGCATCGTTGGTGACAAGATTGTTCTCTTTGGGGGTACCAGGTTAGGAGGAAAGTGGGAGGGCTCAGGGAAGGGCCCAGGTCTGTGACTGCCTGGGAGGCATTTGAGGAGGAGGGTCTCATGGGAAGTCTTTCCTCCTTCCTTCATCTCTTTTTTGATCCCTACAGTCCATCTCCTGAGGAAGGCCTGGGAGATGAATTTGACCTCATAGATCATTCTGATTTACACATTTTGGACTTTAGTAAGTATACATATTCCCAGATGTCTGGCTCCTGCCACAGGGTCCCTGTCTTTGTGTGGTGACATTCAGGAGTGGACCCTTTCCTTGGTTCTGAGCCTCTCCCTCTCTCTGACTTCTTCAAAGGCCCCAGTCTGAAGACTCTGTGTAAACTGGCCGTGATTCAGTATAACCTGGACCAGTCGTGTTTGCCCCATGACATCAGGTACAGTGAGCAGTGGGAGAGGAGAGATCGGGTGAGGGTGCGTGATCTGATGCACTTGTTTCTCAGTATAGAGGGGACGGAAGTTTTTATTCTGCTGGAGATGTAATGTTCTTGAGAGTGAGAGCGAAGGAGGTATAAAACTATCAGCCGGGTAAATTATATTAAGAAAAAACATCTGGTGTTTCAAACCGAGCTGTGAAGCATCGCTTCTTGAGACCCGAGCCTGTGTGGTGGTTTTTAACGTGCTGAGAAAGTTCGATTAAATCTTTGAAGCTAGCTGCAAAGTAAAGACAAATATGGGAACCTTTGGATCCCTTTAGTCCCAGAGTTAAGGGAGGTCCCTCCTAGCTACTTCCCCTTTGCATTCCGTTCTTAGGTCCAAATCAAGCACTAGAAGTTATATGGTGTATACTTGGGTCCTTTAGGATCATTATGGACACTTCCTCTCCTTGTATCAGTTCAGTTTAACTCTTATTTGCTAGGGGGCTCAGGGGTGGTCAGTATTTGGTGGCACAGAGTATACAGGGCTGAACTGACGGATTGCTCAGGATTGACACATGTGCAAATATTTCACGCCGAGTAGACTGTAGTGAGGGTCTTGGCGTAAGGAGGTACTCGGTAAATCTTTGTAGAATGATAGAATTGTCAAAAAGGGGGATGGGGAAGGGATTTAATTTGAATGTGGTGGGAGGGCTGGGGAAGGTCTCTAAAAGCCTAGGAGAGGGGAGCCAGGTCCTTTAACGGGATGGGAGTTGAGAGTAAAAACAGACCTTCCTGGTTGGATCTGAGCAGAGGAGGAAAGGTAGATACTGAGATGTGCATACAGATGATTTTTTCCCCAGGTGTCGGGCACATGCACACATATATAAACATAGGTAGGAAGTCTACATGACCTTGCAGGTGGATGAGTGGGTGATACCAGTTTTGGTAGTGGGTGGGGGCCATGACTGTTAATAATCATGTCAGACAGTAAGGCTGTAAGGAAGAGGTGGCTGTGGGTGGTTGAGCTTTAGGATGTTGAAGGGACTGGTGTGTCCATAGCTTTGTTTGAGCAATTCTGGGCTTGGGGGTGGAGGCTCCACTCTTCTGTCCTTTTTGCCTGTCATTGTTGGCCTTCCAGGTGGGAGCTGAATGCCATGACCACCAACAGCAATATCAGTCGCCCCATCGTCTCCTCCCATGGGTAGGAGAAGGTTGCTGCCGCCTCCCCTCCTGAGCCTGCTGTTATCTTCACTGCCCCTCCCCATCCCTCACCCGCCTGCCCCTTGGGACCCTGGATTCTGTATACCTCTGCGTGGAGTTGTTGGACTAGAGGTGTTTCCTGTGCTGTGAACTCAGTGGGGAGCTATGGGGGGGGAGGGCTAGATCCCTACCCCCTTGGGCCGAGGGCCCCTTCCCCTTGGTGCTCTGTCCCATACACCTCCTTCCAACTGCTCCTGGGCCTCTGCTCTGCCCCAGGCCAGCCAGGCTCTGCTGGGAAGTGAAGGGAATGGGGGTAAGGGAGAAGCAAGCAGTGTCTGAGCCTCAGGAGCTTCCCCCATCCTTGTTTCCACCCCCTCCCCCTGCTTGAGTCAAGAGCATTGATTGGGAGCTGAGAGGAGTTGCAACTGTTGCCATGAAACCCTCATCCTCCCTGACCTGGGGAGGCGAGGACCAGCAGATCATCCCACCCTGCCCTGAGCTGTTGCTGTTCCCTGTCGCTCCCAGCCAGCTCAGATTTTATAAAAATGGATTAAAAATCGCCAAACGTGTGAACTGTTTTTGTGTGACTGACAGAAGCTTGCGAAGGGACAGGGCGGTGACGTTCTGGCTTCTCCAAGAGCAAAAGGAAACCAAATACCACCAGGGCCTGGCCCTAGTTTCCCTAGAGCGCGGAGCCCAGCGTCATGCGACAAAAAGGTGGCGACGTTCTATTGAGTGCGTGCCCACCCGCCTGAGCGTCCTGGCCGGCTCACCACCGACTTGCGCAGACGCGTCTCCCGGAGAGGCCGGAAGAGGCGGGGCGGGAGGCACAAGAGCGGAAGTAGCGCCGTTAGCTCCCGGCGAGTCCCACGAGCCAATGCCTAGAGAGAGTTTCCGCGCCGCGGCGGCCCTCCGGTTTCCCCGCGGGGCCGGGAGAGGCGAGGAGGACGGCGGGGACATGGGGCCCGGGGACCTGCGGAAGGGTGAGGGCCCGGGGCCGGGGCTGGGGGCGCGGGAAGGGTAGGTCGGGTAGGAGCAGTGACCGCGAGACTGCCAAGTTCTCCGCTGGAGGCCACCGCGGGGAGCGCCGCAGACAAAAAGGGACAGTGATTGTGAGGGGGCTGCTTCCTGGGTTAGGACAGCCTGGGCAGTTTCTGAAAGGGAGGATGAGGGTTTTCCGCAAGGAGAAAACACACGTGTAAAAGTAGTCGGGAGAGGCATGGGTTGCTGGGGGTTAGTAGGTCAGGACTGAACACGTTTCGCAAACCTTTGTTGAGCGTCTGTCGTGTGCGGGTTGTTCTAGATGCTGTAGAGACAGTAGTGGAAAACAGCCAAAAACTCCTGGGGCGACCAGCTGGCTCAGTAGAGCATGTGACTCTTGATCTTGGAGGTGTGGGTTCAAGTCCCACATTAGGTGTAGAGATAACTTAAAATCTTTTTTAAAAGATCGTGGTCTCCTGGAGCTTACCTTTCAGAAAGGGTGACTTAAAAAAAAAAAGTAATACAGTAAAAGGCAAAGTGCAGGATTGTGTATTTATAAGGGTGAATTTTATGATATGTGAATTATACCTGTTTTTCAAAACGATTATAAGGCTACAGAGAGAAGGCAAGCAAAGGGTTGCAATTTTAAGTGGTTACAGAAGGCCTCACTGAGTAGGTGACATTTGAGCAACAGTTGGAAGGAGGTGAGGAAACAAGCAGTAAATACATCTGGATAGATTCCAAGCGGAGGCACCATCAAATGCAAAGGAACTGAGGCAGGAACATAGATCTTCTTGCTCAGTAAGTGCCAGACTAGTTGACTGGAGAGGAGTGGGAAAGAGATTATAGGATGTGAGATTAGAGACCAGGGGCTGGGTCACAAGGGGGATTTAGCTTTTGCTCTGATCAAGATGAAGCTATTAGGGAGTTTTGAGTTCTGAAGTGATGTCATCTGAAGCCTACGTGTATGGAAAAGGGGTAGGAATGATGAGATCAGCTTTGTATTTTAGATGCCTGTCTGGCCTGTCCGGCATAGTTTTGGGAGGAGATGGAGGTTGGCAGACTTAGAGCACTGGCTGAGGTGAGAGGTGCTGAGAGTATGGAGGGGAGCGCTGGCAGTGGTAACTGAGCAAGGAAGACATGCCCTTTGGGGAAGCCTGTGAAGGCAGGATTCAAAAGAAGATGACAAGTAAGGGATTGTGTGGCTTGGCCCACCTTGAGCTGTACATGTGTATACCTTCTTTAGCTGGGTGAGGCCGCAGGTGGCAGGAGTGGTTGGTAGGTTAGGTGTCAGTGTAGCACCCTTGCAACCTGTGCTGCCTAGAAACTGCCTTGATCGGCCTGATGGGGATATTGGAAAGGGTCAGTTACTTAAGGAATGAAGGTGGGACGAGGTCTCCGTAGCAACGGGAGATGCTGTGCTGAGTTGTGTCCCCACCCCTCCTTCCACAGACACATCTGACATGTCATTTGAAGAGCTGTTGGAACTGCAGAACCAAGTGGGGACTAAGACATACAAACAGTTGGTAGCTGGAAACAGTACTAAGAAGCTAGGTTCCAGACCACCTGTCCAAAATGTGTGTGTTGCAGATAAGCACAGGTGAGGAGCAAGGCCAGGAACTGGAGAATACCTGGGCCTTTGAGTAGGTGTCTGCATTACCGGGTGGGAGGCCTTTGATCAAGGCTGGAGAGCCAGTGAGGGTGCCTGGGTGGCTCCGTCGGTTAAGGGCCGACTTTGGCTCAGGGCATGATCTTGCAATTGGTGAGTTCGAGCCCCACGTCAGGCTCTGTGCCGACAGTCTGGAGCCTCCTTCGGATTCTGTGTCTCCCTCTCTGCCCCTCCCCCATTCACACTGTCTCTATCTCAAAAGTAAATAAACATTAGAAAGAAAACACTGGAGAGCCAGGGCATCTGGCTGGCTCAGTCACTGGAGTGTGCACTTTTTTTTTTTTTCAATGTTTTTATTTTTGAGAGAGAGAGAGAGAGAGAGAACATGCACAAGTGGGGGAAGGGCAGAGAGAGGGACAGAAAGCCCAGTGTGGGGCTAGAACTCATGAACTGTGAGATCATGATGTGAGCTGAAGTCAGACTGACTAAGCCACCCAGGTGCCCCTCTTGATCTTATGGTTGCGACTTTGAGCCCCACGTTGGGTATAGAGATTACTTAAAAATAAAATCTTAAAAAAAAAATTTATGTTCATTTATTCTTAGGGAGAGTGAGCGAGCATGAGCGGGGGAGGGGCAGAGAGAGAAGGAGACACACAGTCCAGGTTCTAGGCTTTGAGCTGTCCACACAGAGCCCTTGTGAAGTGGGGCTCAAACTCACAAGCCGTAAGATCATGACTTGAGTTGAAGTTGGATGCTTAACCAACTGTGCCACCCAGGCGCCCCAAAAATAAAATCTTAAAAAACAAAAATGTGGAGGCCTTGGACATGTCTTTTAATTTCTCCGTAGGCCTCTGGAAATGTCAGCCAAGGTCCGGGTGCCATTTTTGCGTCAAGTTGTTCCCATCAGTAAGAAGGTGAGGAAGAGGCAGGAAGAGCTGTCTCAATGAGGGGAGACCAAACGGTTCGTTTATACTCTCTCTGTTCTCTCCAAAGGTGGCCCGGGACCCCCGCTTTGATGATCTGTCAGGGGAATATAATCCTGAGGTGTTTGACAAAACGTATCAATTCCTGGATGACATCCGAGCCAAAGAGAAAGAGGTTTGGAACACTAGACCGGCTCATGGAGATTCTAGGGGTGGGAAACCAGGGTACGGGTTAGAGAGTTGGGCAGAGGGGGAACAGGCAACATAGTGGTGGGCAGATTTATTTCTCCTTGATTTAACGCTCCCTAATTTGCTTCTATTCAAATCCCGGCTCATGAGTTTACCAGCTGTGTGACCATTGGCAGGTTCCTTAAGTTCTCAGTTTTCTGATCATAAAAAGAGATAATAAAATAATTCATATCTCCTAGGGTTACCGCATTAATACACACGAACCTCTTAGTATAACGCTTGGCACAACGTTTCGGTAAACACTTACAGACTGCTAACGCTCATATTCATTTTGTAACGTGGAGCTCGTGAAAAAGCAGCTGAAGAAGCACCGTTCGGGGCAGGAGCACGAGAAACTGCAGCAGCTGCTTCAGAGAATGGTGAGTGGGTCAGAGTCGTGGGTGGGCGAGGAGAACAGTTCAAGGCAGGCAGGAGGTGCTTCACAGTCCCTCCTACTTACCCAGCTCACCCACCTCGTCTTTGCTCCTCAGGAGCAGCAAGAAATGGCCCAGCAGGAACGCAAGCGGCAGCAGGAGCTGCGCCTGGCCCTGAAGCAGGAGAGGCGGGCTCGGGCCCAGCAGGGCCATCGGCCATACTTCCTGAAGAAATGTGAGTGGGGCACAGCTGTCACCAGGCTTGGGTGGCCTTAGAGGCAGCGTGCTCTGTTGGGGGTCCATGAGCTCCCTAATGGAGGCTTGAAGGCTGGATCCCATGGGAAGTTGGAGGAAATCAGAAATGGTAGGGAGGAGTTGTTTGTAACTAATCTTGTCTCCCTAATTATAGATTATGGGAGAGGAGTGTTGCTTTTATCTCTCCCGCCTCCCCTGCATATGCTGGGCCAGGCTCATAGAAGGAGCTCACAGTTGGTTTAATAGAGAAAGCAGGGAATTATAGAAAAGATCTGCTTGCCACACACACCAGTGAACTCCAGCCCTCCAGCCAAGTCACGTATCCCAGCATAGCGGTTGGGAAGTACAGACCTGGGGAAGGGACGAGAGGAGTGCCTCCTCCCTTGCTCACCGGCTTTCTCTTTGTCCTCTAGCTGAGCAGCGCCAGTTGGTCCTAGCTGAGAAGTTCAAAGAGCTGAAACGCAGTAAGAAGTTAGAGAGCTTCTTGAGTCGAAAGAGGCGCCGAAATGCAGGCAAGGACCGGAGACATCTCCCTTTGAGCAAAGAGTAATAAGGAACTATTCTCAGCTCTGCCCCTGCCCCAGTGAGAAATGGATCTATGGGGACAACTTGGGCGTGGCCTCTTCTGGTTCTTTTCTATGCAAGGGCAAGGATCATAGCTGCCCTTGAGCTAGATTGGCTCAAAGATGACTAAAGGGCTCTTGGACTGCCCCAGGGTGGGACAAGAAGAGCAGCCCAACCTTCTGTCATGGCACATTTTCTCTGCTTGGATCTGGTTCATTACGGCCTCATGTCTTCCCATCCTTGCTTTAAACCAGTGATCGTGGTATAGAAGAAAAAAGGCCAGTGAGTGAGTGAGTGAGCTTGAGGCTGGTGAAGGCTGTGAAGTGTGTCGACAGCTCCCAGTGCTGGGACTTTATGTAAGAGCCAAATCATAAACATTCCTGTTACTCTTCTTTTTATTCTTTTTTTTGGTGGGGTTTTCGAGCAGCCTAGATACGGTTTCACTGGGCCGCCTGTGGGGGCTGGCAGCAAACTTAAGGCTCCCCATAAAGTGGGAAGTCAGACCAGAGACCCCTCCCACTTAACCCTCAAAGAAGACAGGATCATTGCAAGAGGAAACCACTCCCACAACTCACCTACTTAGCTTTGGTTGTGGATACAGAGGGAGGGAGGAGGTGAGGACAGAACGTTTCCTCAATAATGTAGAAGCACAGCTGGCTGTCAGTACTATTTGGGTCTAATTCCTACTCCCGTGTGGACTAGAGAATCCTCAAGCTAACTAATGGTTCAGTTTGAAGTGGTCTCAGGTTGGTAGTGCTTCCAGGCACCTGGCAGAAGCAAGTGTAATCTTCACTTGAGGGTTGTGCTTGAAACTCAAGCCTCAAGCGTTCCTTTGGACAAAATCTGAAGGAATGTGAGCTTTCACTGAAAATATAAAAGCACACAAGGAAAGACATCACCATGAGCAAGAGTCATTAGGGACAATAGAAAACAGACTCAGACCAGCAAAAACAGATGTTAGAAATATAAAATACAAAATGTAAAATATCTTGCTTATCTTTAAAGAGAAAGGATGACTAAAGAAAAGAATATCTAAAAGGACCAAATTGGTTTGATAAAAAGTAGAGCTTTTAAAAATGAACTGTATACTATTTGAAATTAGAAATTTTAAGGTTGGGGTGCCTGGCTGGCTCAGTTGGTGGAGTGTGCAACCCTTGGTCTTGGAGTTGTGAGTTCGAGCACCATACTGGGTGTAGAGATTACTTAAAAATAAAATCTTTAAAAAAAAAAATAGAAAAACTTTATTGGGCACCTGGGTGGCTCAGTTGGTTAAGCATCTGACTCGATTTCAGATCAGGTCATGATCTCATGGTTCATGGGATCAAGCCCCACTTTGGGCACTCTGGAGCCTGCTTGGGATTCTCTCTCTGCTCCTCCCCCACTGGGGTATGCGTGTGTGCTCGCTCTCGGTCTCTCTCTTGCTGTCTTTCAAATAAGTAAACATTTAAAATTTTTTTTTTTTTAATGTTTTATTTATTTCTAGGAGAGAGAGAGAGAGAGAGCGTGAGCAGGGGAGGGTCAGTGAGAGAGGGAGACACAGACTCCGAAATAGGCTCCAGGCTCTGAGCTGGCAGTCAGCACAGAGCCCGACGCGGNGGGGTGGCTGACAGAAGCTTGCGAAGGGACAGGGCGGTGACGTTCTGGCTTCTCCAAGAGCAAAAGGAAACCAAATACCACCAGGGCCTGGCCCTAGTTTCCCTAGAGCGCGGAGCCCAGCGTCATGCGACAAAAAGGTGGCGACGTTCTATTGAGTGCGTGCCCACCCGCCTGAGCGTCCTGGCCGGCTCACCACCGACTTGCGCAGACGCGTCTCCCGGAGAGGCCGGAAGAGGCGGGGCGGGAGGCACAAGAGCGGAAGTAGCGCCGTTAGCTCCCGGCGAGTCCCACGAGCCAATGCCTAGAGAGAGTTTCCGCGCCGCGGCGGCCCTCCGGTTTCCCCGCGGGGCCGGGAGAGGCGAGGAGGACGGCGGGGACATGGGGCCCGGGGACCTGCGGAAGGGTGAGGGCCCGGGGCCGGGGCTGGGGGCGCGGGAAGGGTAGGTCGGGTAGGAGCAGTGACCGCGAGACTGCCAAGTTCTCCGCTGGAGGCCACCGCGGGGAGCGCCGCAGACAAAAAGGGACAGTGATTGTGAGGGGGCTGCTTCCTGGGTTAGGACAGCCTGGGCAGTTTCTGAAAGGGAGGATGAGGGTTTTCCGCAAGGAGAAAACACACGTGTAAAAGTAGTCGGGAGAGGCATGGGTTGCTGGGGGTTAGTAGGTCAGGACTGAACACGTTTCGCAAACCTTTGTTGAGCGTCTGTCGTGTGCGGGTTGTTCTAGATGCTGTAGAGACAGTAGTGGAAAACAGCCAAAAACTCCTGGGGCGACCAGCTGGCTCAGTAGAGCATGTGACTCTTGATCTTGGAGGTGTGGGTTCAAGTCCCACATTAGGTGTAGAGATAACTTAAAATCTTTTTTAAAAGATCGTGGTCTCCTGGAGCTTACCTTTCAGAAAGGGTGACTTAAAAAAAAAAAGTAATACAGTAAAAGGCAAAGTGCAGGATTGTGTATTTATAAGGGTGAATTTTATGATATGTGAATTATACCTGTTTTTCAAAACGATTATAAGGCTACAGAGAGAAGGCAAGCAAAGGGTTGCAATTTTAAGTGGTTACAGAAGGCCTCACTGAGTAGGTGACATTTGAGCAACAGTTGGAAGGAGGTGAGGAAACAAGCAGTAAATACATCTGGATAGATTCCAAGCGGAGGCACCATCAAATGCAAAGGAACTGAGGCAGGAACATAGATCTTCTTGCTCAGTAAGTGCCAGACTAGTTGACTGGAGAGGAGTGGGAAAGAGATTATAGGATGTGAGATTAGAGACCAGGGGCTGGGTCACAAGGGGGATTTAGCTTTTGCTCTGATCAAGATGAAGCTATTAGGGAGTTTTGAGTTCTGAAGTGATGTCATCTGAAGCCTACGTGTATGGAAAAGGGGTAGGAATGATGAGATCAGCTTTGTATTTTAGATGCCTGTCTGGCCTGTCCGGCATAGTTTTGGGAGGAGATGGAGGTTGGCAGACTTAGAGCACTGGCTGAGGTGAGAGGTGCTGAGAGTATGGAGGGGAGCGCTGGCAGTGGTAACTGAGCAAGGAAGACATGCCCTTTGGGGAAGCCTGTGAAGGCAGGATTCAAAAGAAGATGACAAGTAAGGGATTGTGTGGCTTGGCCCACCTTGAGCTGTACATGTGTATACCTTCTTTAGCTGGGTGAGGCCGCAGGTGGCAGGAGTGGTTGGTAGGTTAGGTGTCAGTGTAGCACCCTTGCAACCTGTGCTGCCTAGAAACTGCCTTGATCGGCCTGATGGGGATATTGGAAAGGGTCAGTTACTTAAGGAATGAAGGTGGGACGAGGTCTCCGTAGCAACGGGAGATGCTGTGCTGAGTTGTGTCCCCACCCCTCCTTCCACAGACACATCTGACATGTCATTTGAAGAGCTGTTGGAACTGCAGAACCAAGTGGGGACTAAGACATACAAACAGTTGGTAGCTGGAAACAGTACTAAGAAGCTAGGTTCCAGACCACCTGTCCAAAATGTGTGTGTTGCAGATAAGCACAGGTGAGGAGCAAGGCCAGGAACTGGAGAATACCTGGGCCTTTGAGTAGGTGTCTGCATTACCGGGTGGGAGGCCTTTGATCAAGGCTGGAGAGCCAGTGAGGGTGCCTGGGTGGCTCCGTCGGTTAAGGGCCGACTTTGGCTCAGGGCATGATCTTGCAATTGGTGAGTTCGAGCCCCACGTCAGGCTCTGTGCCGACAGTCTGGAGCCTCCTTCGGATTCTGTGTCTCCCTCTCTGCCCCTCCCCCATTCACACTGTCTCTATCTCAAAAGTAAATAAACATTAGAAAGAAAACACTGGAGAGCCAGGGCATCTGGCTGGCTCAGTCACTGGAGTGTGCACTTTTTTTTTTTTTCAATGTTTTTATTTTTGAGAGAGAGAGAGAGAGAGAGAACATGCACAAGTGGGGGAAGGGCAGAGAGAGGGACAGAAAGCCCAGTGTGGGGCTAGAACTCATGAACTGTGAGATCATGATGTGAGCTGAAGTCAGACTGACTAAGCCACCCAGGTGCCCCTCTTGATCTTATGGTTGCGACTTTGAGCCCCACGTTGGGTATAGAGATTACTTAAAAATAAAATCTTAAAAAAAAAATTTATGTTCATTTATTCTTAGGGAGAGTGAGCGAGCATGAGCGGGGGAGGGGCAGAGAGAGAAGGAGACACACAGTCCAGGTTCTAGGCTTTGAGCTGTCCACACAGAGCCCTTGTGAAGTGGGGCTCAAACTCACAAGCCGTAAGATCATGACTTGAGTTGAAGTTGGATGCTTAACCAACTGTGCCACCCAGGCGCCCCAAAAATAAAATCTTAAAAAACAAAAATGTGGAGGCCTTGGACATGTCTTTTAATTTCTCCGTAGGCCTCTGGAAATGTCAGCCAAGGTCCGGGTGCCATTTTTGCGTCAAGTTGTTCCCATCAGTAAGAAGGTGAGGAAGAGGCAGGAAGAGCTGTCTCAATGAGGGGAGACCAAACGGTTCGTTTATACTCTCTCTGTTCTCTCCAAAGGTGGCCCGGGACCCCCGCTTTGATGATCTGTCAGGGGAATATAATCCTGAGGTGTTTGACAAAACGTATCAATTCCTGGATGACATCCGAGCCAAAGAGAAAGAGGTTTGGAACACTAGACCGGCTCATGGAGATTCTAGGGGTGGGAAACCAGGGTACGGGTTAGAGAGTTGGGCAGAGGGGGAACAGGCAACATAGTGGTGGGCAGATTTATTTCTCCTTGATTTAACGCTCCCTAATTTGCTTCTATTCAAATCCCGGCTCATGAGTTTACCAGCTGTGTGACCATTGGCAGGTTCCTTAAGTTCTCAGTTTTCTGATCATAAAAAGAGATAATAAAATAATTCATATCTCCTAGGGTTACCGCATTAATACACACGAACCTCTTAGTATAACGCTTGGCACAACGTTTCGGTAAACACTTACAGACTGCTAACGCTCATATTCATTTTGTAACGTGGAGCTCGTGAAAAAGCAGCTGAAGAAGCACCGTTCGGGGCAGGAGCACGAGAAACTGCAGCAGCTGCTTCAGAGAATGGTGAGTGGGTCAGAGTCGTGGGTGGGCGAGGAGAACAGTTCAAGGCAGGCAGGAGGTGCTTCACAGTCCCTCCTACTTACCCAGCTCACCCACCTCGTCTTTGCTCCTCAGGAGCAGCAAGAAATGGCCCAGCAGGAACGCAAGCGGCAGCAGGAGCTGCGCCTGGCCCTGAAGCAGGAGAGGCGGGCTCGGGCCCAGCAGGGCCATCGGCCATACTTCCTGAAGAAATGTGAGTGGGGCACAGCTGTCACCAGGCTTGGGTGGCCTTAGAGGCAGCGTGCTCTGTTGGGGGTCCATGAGCTCCCTAATGGAGGCTTGAAGGCTGGATCCCATGGGAAGTTGGAGGAAATCAGAAATGGTAGGGAGGAGTTGTTTGTAACTAATCTTGTCTCCCTAATTATAGATTATGGGAGAGGAGTGTTGCTTTTATCTCTCCCGCCTCCCCTGCATATGCTGGGCCAGGCTCATAGAAGGAGCTCACAGTTGGTTTAATAGAGAAAGCAGGGAATTATAGAAAAGATCTGCTTGCCACACACACCAGTGAACTCCAGCCCTCCAGCCAAGTCACGTATCCCAGCATAGCGGTTGGGAAGTACAGACCTGGGGAAGGGACGAGAGGAGTGCCTCCTCCCTTGCTCACCGGCTTTCTCTTTGTCCTCTAGCTGAGCAGCGCCAGTTGGTCCTAGCTGAGAAGTTCAAAGAGCTGAAACGCAGTAAGAAGTTAGAGAGCTTCTTGAGTCGAAAGAGGCGCCGAAATGCAGGCAAGGACCGGAGACATCTCCCTTTGAGCAAAGAGTAATAAGGAACTATTCTCAGCTCTGCCCCTGCCCCAGTGAGAAATGGATCTATGGGGACAACTTGGGCGTGGCCTCTTCTGGTTCTTTTCTATGCAAGGGCAAGGATCATAGCTGCCCTTGAGCTAGATTGGCTCAAAGATGACTAAAGGGCTCTTGGACTGCCCCAGGGTGGGACAAGAAGAGCAGCCCAACCTTCTGTCATGGCACATTTTCTCTGCTTGGATCTGGTTCATTACGGCCTCATGTCTTCCCATCCTTGCTTTAAACCAGTGATCGTGGTATAGAAGAAAAAAGGCCAGTGAGTGAGTGAGTGAGCTTGAGGCTGGTGAAGGCTGTGAAGTGTGTCGACAGCTCCCAGTGCTGGGACTTTATGTAAGAGCCAAATCATAAACATTCCTGTTACTCTTCTTTTTATTCTTTTTTTTGGTGGGGTTTTCGAGCAGCCTAGATACGGTTTCACTGGGCCGCCTGTGGGGGCTGGCAGCAAACTTAAGGCTCCCCATAAAGTGGGAAGTCAGACCAGAGACCCCTCCCACTTAACCCTCAAAGAAGACAGGATCATTGCAAGAGGAAACCACTCCCACAACTCACCTACTTAGCTTTGGTTGTGGATACAGAGGGAGGGAGGAGGTGAGGACAGAACGTTTCCTCAATAATGTAGAAGCACAGCTGGCTGTCAGTACTATTTGGGTCTAATTCCTACTCCCGTGTGGACTAGAGAATCCTCAAGCTAACTAATGGTTCAGTTTGAAGTGGTCTCAGGTTGGTAGTGCTTCCAGGCACCTGGCAGAAGCAAGTGTAATCTTCACTTGAGGGTTGTGCTTGAAACTCAAGCCTCAAGCGTTCCTTTGGACAAAATCTGAAGGAATGTGAGCTTTCACTGAAAATATAAAAGCACACAAGGAAAGACATCACCATGAGCAAGAGTCATTAGGGACAATAGAAAACAGACTCAGACCAGCAAAAACAGATGTTAGAAATATAAAATACAAAATGTAAAATATCTTGCTTATCTTTAAAGAGAAAGGATGACTAAAGAAAAGAATATCTAAAAGGACCAAATTGGTTTGATAAAAAGTAGAGCTTTTAAAAATGAACTGTATACTATTTGAAATTAGAAATTTTAAGGTTGGGGTGCCTGGCTGGCTCAGTTGGTGGAGTGTGCAACCCTTGGTCTTGGAGTTGTGAGTTCGAGCACCATACTGGGTGTAGAGATTACTTAAAAATAAAATCTTTAAAAAAAAAAATAGAAAAACTTTATTGGGCACCTGGGTGGCTCAGTTGGTTAAGCATCTGACTCGATTTCAGATCAGGTCATGATCTCATGGTTCATGGGATCAAGCCCCACTTTGGGCACTCTGGAGCCTGCTTGGGATTCTCTCTCTGCTCCTCCCCCACTGGGGTATGCGTGTGTGCTCGCTCTCGGTCTCTCTCTTGCTGTCTTTCAAATAAGTAAACATTTAAAATTTTTTTTTTTTTAATGTTTTATTTATTTCTAGGAGAGAGAGAGAGAGAGAGCGTGAGCAGGGGAGGGTCAGTGAGAGAGGGAGACACAGACTCCGAAATAGGCTCCAGGCTCTGAGCTGGCAGTCAGCACAGAGCCCGACGCGGGGCTCGAACCCATGAACCTCGAGATCATGACCCAAGCGAAAGTCGGACGCTTAACCGACTAAGCCACCCAAAAAGAAAGAAAGAAACTTTATGGTTAAACAACAGATTAGTTACACCTAAAAGAATAATGAACCAGAAGTAGATTTGAAGTTACAAAGATGAAACATGGGGATACAGAGAAATGGAAACTAAGGAAAGGATTAAATACACAGGAAAAACAAAACATGGAAGATAGATTGAGAAGGTATGGTACATACAATCTGAAATCCAGAGGAGAGAATATTTTAAAGACGCTGAGAATTTCCTAGAATTGAAACTTATAAACACTAGGATTCAGAAAGTTCTATTAATTTCCAAGCAGGACTGAAAAAAAAAATGATGGGTGGCTCAGTCAGTAGAGCATGCAATTCTTGATCTTGGAGTTCAAGCCCCACATTGGGCACAGAGATTTTTTTTTTTTTTTTAATAAATCATGAAATTACAGAACATTTTAAAGACTAACATCTGAAAAGCAGCTATAAGGAAGAAAGAGGTAGAATTAGAAGCTAGGACATCCAATGCTTGATGTTTCTGAAATGGACAAATAGATGGAATTCTGATGACTGAAATATGAAATGAGCAGAAAATGTCTCCAAGTGATTGTAGGCTGAAGGCTAAAGCTACCAAGATATTTTATCTTTCCCAGAGGGATCCAGTGTTCTAGGACCCCTGATGCCACATAGATCAGTCCTACTTTAAAGCCAGAGAACAGATTCTGGCTGATTAAAGAAAGACTATTGAACTAGGGCTCAAGAAACACAAAGAAGGTTATAGAAAAGCTCAAAAAAAAAAAAAAAAAAAGTGGTTGGCTGGTAAGTGTGAGCAGTTAAAAGCACTCTAAATCCTACCACAAGAGCATTGTGAAGATGTCCCTGTTGCCACCAGAGAGATTCCACTTTCCTTCCTGCTTTGCTCTAGATTCAGAAATTCCTGGAGGAGGCATTTGAATTGCTAAGCCTTGGTTATACGGCTGCAAGGAGGATGCTGGGAAAGCAAGTATCTGGTCTTTTATATTGTGGGGTGTGAGCTTTATCTTCTACCTAATTTGTGTGGGGTTTCCAAGCATAAGAAGGGGGTTTATGGGCGCCTGGGTGGCTCAGTTGGTTAAGTGTCTGACTTGGGCTGAGGTCATGATCTTGTGGTTTGTGAGTTCCAGCCCTGCAGCATCGGGCTGTCTGCTGTCCACAGAGCCCACTTCAGATCCTCCATCTCCCCTCTCTCTGTGCCTCCCCACGCACTGTCCCTCTCCCCCCCAAATTCAATATTAAAAAGAAGGGGGTTCAGACAGAGGGTAGTTAAGAGCACCCCTGCATGTCCACCAGAGGCCGTGCTGGCCCCACCAGGCCTTCAGCCTGCTACTCTTCCCCTTCATTGAGGGCCCACAGAGATACTGGAGAGCTCTGAGCTTCAGTGATGGGTAGGTAGTTGGTCTGCTTGCTTTTTGGTTTTTATTGGGAACATTATTAATCTGAGATATAATCAATGTACACCTGACTCCCTCCACCCATTTAACTTGTACAATTTGATGGTGTTTAGTATATTCACAGTTGTGTAACCATCACAATTTTGTAACATTTTCGAGACCCCCAAAAAGACCCCTTATATCCTCTAGCAGACACTCCCCATTTCTTCCCAATCTCCCCAGCCCTAGGCAGCCACTAAACCACTTTCTGGCTCTAGATTTGCCTATTTTGGGACATTTCATGTAAGTGGAATTAATACATGATCCTTTGAGTACAAACCGGCTGTCTGGGATAGAAGGAGAGACTGTGAGGATGGTCTCACAGAGGGGTCAGGGTAGCAAACTTCTGTCCCAAGTCACGCAGGAAGTGTGTGCCCTGTAGGGATGGAAAGTCCTGATGGCAGGGGAAGAGGCTCAGGTCTCTCCTGGTGCTGGTCAGAGAAGGGCAGTCAGGACTGTTCACCCAAGTGACAAACTAGCAACCCCAGTGTGCCCTGGAGCCCAGTGCCTGTTACCTGTCTTCCTTCTAGAACGTGGACCAACCAGATGGTTCTGCTCTGAGAACCACCAACAGCATGGTGGGGCCACCATACTGGAAAGTAAAACAAGTATGGGCCTTCTGCGGCTACCCTGTTTGCCCTCTGTTTTGCTGTCTCGTCCTGGGCATCCTGATTCTCCCAAGCCCCTGGCCTGTTTCTCTTACAGATTCTATTCCAGATCTCAGTCCTGGGTGGCACCCAGTTCCCCGTCTGGCCTCTGTGTCCTCTCACTACCTGACTCTTCCTCACCCTTCCCCACATCCTTCTTCTGTAGCCTTCTCCCTTATTTTGGCTGCAAGAACCTTGGACTCAGGATGCCTGGGTCACTCCTTCCTGACTCCCTTAATCACCCCTGCCAAGACGCAGAGCTCCCCAGCCTGCCCTGCCCTCCTCCTGTGGTTGGGGCTGGGGGGAGTCCATCCTAGCAGCACAGAGCAAACCTCCCGGACAGTGGCCTGTGGCCTGCCGCTGCTACTAGTGGGGGTCTGGCTCTGGCAAAAGTAAAGCTCTGTGACCAGAAGGCTTGTGGGAGCTGCAGTTCCTTCTAGGTCTGCTTCCAGCCCAGATCCTAAAGCTTACAGACAACCCCCTCTCAGGCTCCTGGGTGCCTGCAGTCCTTTATCTCACTTCCCCCCATCAGCCTTACCTAGGGAAGATGCCCTGCATTATACTCACTGCTGGGTGTGGGGGCCAAGAGAGGGACTCATTAGTCTGTCAGATGCTCCCATACCTGGGGCTCATCAGAACTCACGGTGACTCTGGTTCTACAAATGAAAAAAAATGGAGCCCTGCTTAACAGTCTGCCCAAGTTACAAGCCATCCAGCACATGGCAAGGGGGACTTAGGTCTGCAGCCTGCAGGGTGAAAGCACTTCTGGCCATGTGCTGAGAAGGGGTGGGGGTCTATCCCTGTCCACTTAATTCCTCTCCTGAGAGGGGGCTGCTCAGTCACACCTGACTCCCTCTACCTTTCTCCCCAGGCTGCCATCCTTACTCTAATAGTGTGGCATGGGATGACACCATCTTAGAGCCAGAGGGCTGGCTCCTTTCCCCTTTTAGCCAGGAAAGTCCCTGCTGCCCCTGTCAGATCCTTCGCAGTCACCACACCAGCCACATATTCAAACTCCCGTATTTTATTTCTGTAAAAAGCCCTGATCCCATCTCCAGGGCTACCGGAAGGTAGAGAAGCTCTGGGTGCCTGTGCATGAGGCATAGGGCACACCCCGAGAGCGAATCTGCAGGGTATGGAAAGTGAGGGGTGGGTTGGGGCCCGAGGAGCCTGGGTTCAGGGACTCGGTGTGAGGCTCCATCACAGTCACAGGGACTGCATAGAACAGCGTCTGGGGCCGGTCGTCATGGCGCCTCACTGTGCCCTTGCTGAGGAGGTGCAGGACGCAGGAGAGGACATCGGTACTGTTGCAGGCAGACCCCCGACCGAGGCTGCTGACCAAACCCCTGGGGGGACATGGGCCCTTCTGCCAAGCGTCCAGGACCTGGGAAGGAGTGGGAAGGGCGAACAGCAGGTTGGAGGTACCCAGCTCACTCCACCTCCAGCTTCCACTCCAGGCACAAGCCGCCAGCACCAGGAGCTCTAAGGACATCAGGCACACCCCAACCCCACCCCTTACAAACCTACCTGTTCCGGCTCCCATAGTGACCCAGAGGCCTCAAATGTGGAGCCACCTCCTCCTGCTTCCCCACCCCCACCCCAAGGCTCCCTCCCCCACTGCCCATCCCTGCCTACCCGACAGACCAGCTGGTCAATATGCAGCCCCTCATCCCCATGGGCTTTGAGGATTCGGACAATGAGGCAGTTCAGAAGGTTCCTCCTCTTCTCCAAGTTCCGGCCCTCTTCATCCTCCGCTTTCAGGTACGTCTGAGGTGGGATGAGCCACACGTTGCCCCTCCTTGGCCTGGGCTCCTCGTTGCCA